AAAAAAAGTTTAAAAAAAGAGTATCAATGGACTTTCCTGCCCAGGCTGGCTTTGAACTGCAATCCTCAGATCTCAGCCTCCTGAGTAGCTATGATTACAGGCGTGAGCAACCTGCACCCACGGCTTATAATAAAATTTTTTAAAGAAATTCACTGTAAACTTAGTGCTCATGGGAACTGTCTTTTCACTATCATTTAATTTGCACACCAATCCAAGACTTCTTTAAAAGCTTGATTCTTTTTTTTTTTTTTTTAACCAGGGCTAAGAACCGAACCCACGGCCTTGCACGCGCCAGGCGGGCGCCCTTCCGCTGGGCTAAACCCCCAGCCCCTAAAAGCTTGATTCTTTAAAATACCATTATCTCCTAAAAATCAAGAACCCTTCGCAAGTCAGGAATTTTAACTCCTCTACAGCTTCACATTTGCTGTGAAGCTTTATGCCAAGCTGCAATCCAACAGTTTGGCCTTTGCTGCCCCCTAGTGGAAGCACAGTCTGTTACCTAAATACAGCCACAGGATCCAAAAGTCCAATGAGGTTGAATGGGAAGATTGCTGAAATGATCTTCCAGGGCTCTAGAATAGGTAATAGGTCATATATAAACCCCTACAGTCCCTCTACCATCTCCCTCCCCACCCCGAATAAAAAGGTCTATCTACTTCTCATTCCAAGTTTTTTCTATTGTCAACTGCACATTTTTATAAGCAATTAAAAAAATCATTTTGTTTAGTACCAAAAACTGTAATAAAGTTGCAGAATGTACCACAGGATATTTCTACATTATACAACTATCTCTGATTCATTTGTCTTAAAAGATTATTTTGCTTTAAAGGTAATATGGATGGTTAAGATAACAATAGAGGGAGCTCAACTGCCATAGATCCAAAGAATTTTAGACAGATAAATGAATTAAAATAAAATAAAAGCTAGGCATGATAGAAATATACAGAAAGCTGAGGCAGGAGAATTACGAAGTTCAGAATAGCTTGGGACATATAGTGAGACCTTTGGTCAAAAGAAAAGAATAAATACTTGAAGGCAAGTATTCTTTATTTTTATTTGGCTAACACACAGAAGGGGAAAAAAAAGGTTCCTTCAACTCTCAACCTTAGCCACTTGCTAAAAATACTCATTTTTCTGTATTCATATATTACAGTTCAATTCCAAAAGGGAACACTATCTGGCAACCTGGTTTTAATCACAGCTTAATACAACATTTTAATTATTTTCAATTTTTAATTTATTCCCTATTCAACTCAATTCTTCAGATGCATGGCTCCAAAACTTTCTAATTATTTCTAAGCTTCTAAACGGCAACTTAAAACTTCCAGAGGAAAAAATAAGCATTATATGCTCATTAACTATACACATCTAAAACCGTCAATTAACAATGTATTGGTTATGAAAAGTCATACTTCAACTTTAAAAATTAATGGCCAGATTAGAATTACACTAACCATCTTTAAAATTAGTATGCACCCTTCAAACACAGTATTGTTGTTTCTAAGTTTTCTTCATCTCCACAGCCATCAAGACTCAATTTAATGCTTACCATAGCATGTTCAGCTACATTAGATTTCCAGCAATTTCTCCAGAACTAAGAGCCCTAAGATATTTTCCACTAGACCTTTTCCAAATTTATTAATAATGTGTATTAATCTTCATATAGGGAGATTTGAAAATATGGCTACATACTTTCTACATATTCATTCTGTGAAGGAATCATTCTGGCCAGTCCACAACCACGCACCACTGGAACATATAATAGGATGTTAGTCTATGTGCTGCCAAAGAGCACAATATAATAGGATTTTAAGGAACACTCTGATCTAATATACTTGAGATACCACTCCAACCTTACCTAACCAAAGATCCACAGGACAAGATCTATGCTCAAATTTAGACACACTACATGCTTTCTGGGGAGGAATTAAACCATGGGAAAAAAATTTATCCCACCAATGACTTCTTAGGAAACTCAACTAGTACTTCACCACATTAGAAACCACTCAAATGCCATGTACTGTCTTAAGACAGGAAGCAGAACAAGCTATTCTCCCACTGTCCTGTTTTAATTAGATCTCAGTAGAAAACAAACTCCTAAAGACTGACTGTACAGTGACACCTTAGAAAACAACCTCAAATTTCACTGCACATGCAACATGTTTTTGGTTTTCTTGGGGGGTGGGTCTGGTTGTGGGGCCTGAACTCTGGGCCTGGGCGCTGTCCCTCAGCTCTTCAGCTCAAGGCTAGCGCTCTACCACTTGAGCCACAGCACCATTTCCAGCTT